ATATTCATATATTTCTTTAGAGGTCATCAACAAGGGTATTCAGATTGATATTTATATGGGTCAATTCACTGCAATAGTTTCTGTATTAATAACACATACTCTGTTATAAAACAACATAAACCTCTTTTTAATGTAATATAGTCAGACACAACCATGGAAAGAAACTGACACATTGCACTTGTGGATGCTTAGATGAAGAATTATTTTCCATTGGCCATCATTGATTCATTCAAGCAGACAGATTAGTTCGTTTTTTATGTGATATGAATAATGCAGTTCAACATGTAGTTCCAAATCAAAGCATAAACCTGATGTGCTGCAAAGACAATTTGCAGCTATTGCTAATTCTCTTTTCCCTAAGTCTCCTCATCTCTTTCCCTGTGCATTATGGGAATAGCAAAACATTCAGGGTACGTATAACAGTCTCCGTAACAAGGACTTTAATGCCATGCAAAGTGGTCCATTGGTTGGACACTCACGTGGTCTGAAAATTAAAAGACAACCAGAAAAGGCACATTTCAAAGAACTGGCTTATGAAGAAGTTCACAAAAGCATTGCAAAAGCATTAAAAAGTAGAAAACCATATCAGCATAGAAGCAAACCTATGTAGCAGAACACTGCATAACTGTGAGCAGTCGGAGAGTCATTGGATTTAAATCTGTGACTCCAGAGCAGAAAAGAAGCTCCACTGTGTAGGAGAGAAGTATGGGAAACTGTCCGACTCTGGCCTGGAATGACTCTCTGAGTATGCACCAGTGGGGGCACAAGAATGGCTCAGGAAGTCTCTAACATGTGGAGGCAAAGACAGAAAGAGCCAGTTTTCCACCAGGAGACCCCCACCAGGCAGCCCCGAGCAGCAGCCCAGCTCAGCCGGCAGTTCTTCCAGACTGTTGCTGCGCAGGTCCAACCTGCACAGCTGACTCAAGGCTGCAATCCCCCTGGGCAGTACACTGAGTGAGTTGTGAGCCACGTTCAGGGTGCGCAGCTCCAAACAGTTGCTGAAGAGCTCAGCGGGCAGGCTCTCTAACCTGTTCCCACTGAGGTCCAGCTCTGACAGCAGCTTCAGGGCCTTTACATCAGCGGGCAGCTCCTCCAGCAGGTTGCCAGCCAGCAGGAGCCTACGAAGGCAGCGGAGAGTGAAGAGTGCCGGGGGAAGGCTCTGTAGCTGGTTGTTGGACAGATCCAGGAGCTCCAGGCCTCGAAGCACCCCGACGCTAGCCGGCAGGGCCAGAACACGGTTATAAGCAAGTCTGAGGCAAGAAAGGCGCCGCAGATGAGCCAGACTCAGCAGTTCCTCCAGAGTTCTCAGGTTGTTGTGCTGCAGGTTGAGCGTGTGCAGGTTGGTCAGAGCGAGCAGGGCGGAGGGCAAACGCTCCAGCTGGCAGTCCTGCAGATGGAGCTCTGTCAGGTCAACCACCCGCTTCAGGCCTGTCAGTACAAGCAGCCTGGTGCCTTCATTGTAGACCTCCAGCCTCACCAGACTGCCGGCCACCTCATACAGCTCGCCAGGGATCCGCTGTAACATGCCTCGAATCACCAGCACGCGGAGGTGACGTAGCTGGCGCAGGCTCCCCAGTGCCCAGCTTCGGCCCACCCCGCCTTCACTGCTCAATCGGCCAGAGAGGTGGAGCTCGTGCAGGCTGCGGAGGGAGAAGACCCAGCTGGGGATCTCTGACGCATGAGTGAAGGTGAGATGGAGGACCTCCAGACGTTCCTGGAGGACAGCAAGTGCGCTGGGGTCCACAGCCGCAGTGCAGTGGTAGAGGTGGAGCTCCCTGTTGGTGGAAGAACCAGCAGAGGTAAGTAAGCAAGTGAATGTGCATAATAAAGAGTATGAATGATTGCAACTCACCTGAGCGACGTCATGTTGGCCACTTGTGCAGTAAACCTGGCGTCTGTGATGAGCTCCAGTTTGAGGACCTGAAGCTGGCTGAGGGTGAAGAGGGCCGGAGGGAGGCGAGGAAGGGCCACCAGCTGCAGTCGGGAGCAGCCGTCCGCATCCACCGCCGTCATGGCGTGCAGCTTCTCCTCCCCCCAGCGCCTCTCCAAGCTTTCCTCCAGCAGCCGGCTCTCGCTGACAGGGGACAGGAACACGGAGAGACGCTGGGCCAGCAAAGGGTCGTACTGGTCCAGCATGTGTATGAGAAAGGCCAGGTCGTTCCTCAGGTCGGGAACGTCTCTGAGGGAGCACAGATCCTTCAGTGAGTGGAAGGAATACTGACGCAGAGAGCTGGAAAACAAGAAGAGATGAGAAATATATCACTCTGAATATACAGTTTACCCAAAACACAGCATTACACTCTAATCCTATTATCGGGCCTCTGCTAAGCTCCACCTCACAGGCATTCTTTTGTTGAATAGTTTAAGCCTGCGAAGCCTGCATGTAAGACCTCAAAAGTACATTTTACATTTAGACGAGTTAATCTTGTGGCTGTTGTGACAAATAATACCTCAATAAGCCAATCAAAACCTGCAGTGTCTCAGTCTCTATTTAACAGTGCATTTTGCATTGTGTATGTTTTTTGTTTTTGTATATATTCAGCAATTTGCTTAAATTTTACACAAGTATGAAGTTAAATTTTATATAGCAAGAACTCTAATGTAAAGTTGAGGTTTGCAGTAAATGTATTAAAACATGAAAATATGTTAAAATGGTCATTTTATAGGGCTGCAAGGTGGCTCCGTGGTTTGCAAAGATCCCCGGTTTGTGTCCCAGTTAGGACACCTGGGATCTTTCTGCGTGGAGTTTGCATGTTCTCCCCGTGCAGTGTGGGTTCTCTCTGGGTTCTCTGGATTCCTCCCACAGTACAAAAAATATGCTGAGGTTAATTGGTGATTGTAAATTGTCCATAGGTGTGAATGTGAGTGTGCTTGGTTGTCTGTCTCTAAGTGTCCCCTACCTTCACCGTGAGGATTAAGCAGTGTATCGATAATGGATGGAATCATCCTTTTATAACAATTAAAGGTCCTTTAATGCACATTTTGGCCACTTGGGTGCAGTGCAACAAACTGTAAACACATCAAGGACGTATCTAAGTTACCATGCTTGGTTTTACACTTGTGTGCTGAACATATGATGTAGTTATGCCACAGCATGTGCACAGATGTGACTACTCATCGCAGCAATGCAGATCCCAATTATTGCAATCGGCATGCTTGGTAGTAATGTTTTCATTCGCTTGCAATGAGCGCTGACCTGTGTAAAATCCAGCAGAGGGTGTAAAAGTTAAGCAGACCATACAGGCCCAGCAGGGTCAGGTAGGCCACCAGCAGCTTGCGTAGAAGCGACGAGAGCACGTGGATGCACTCGAAGGTAGCGTAGCCCACCAGGAGCTGCTCCTCGGGGTGACAGGTGTGGCTGAAGGAGAAGGAGCTGAGGAGAGGGATGGTGTAGCTGACGATCAGCGTTCCCATCAGCAGTTTGAATATTGTCTGAGCCAAGTAGACCTGAAATGACAAAAGGGGGTAAAATGAACAACAGACATTACGTTTTGTCGTAAAATAAAACCACACAGCTGTATTCTAACATGTTGAAGTATCAAAAAGGCTAAATGAAACATGGAAGGCTAAAGGTCTGAGCATCCAGAAGTAATATTTACAGCGGTGATCTCCTACCTTATAAATGACAGATGAGCTTTCGCAGTGGGACCTAAATTTCCTGACCCGTTCAAACAGCGCCCTGGCCTGCTCTCCATCACTTTTATCCAGACTGATTACCTGCCTGGGACTGTCAGCCAGGACTGAGGGCTTGGAGGAAGGAAGGTGGACTCGGGAGTCAAGAGATACAGAAGACACGGTGGAGTTACAGGAAACAGTGGAAGGGCAAGGAGATGGAGGCGTAGCAAAGGACGCGCTGTCCGACCTCTTCAGAAGAGGGCTGTCTGTGCCCGAGTCTATGCTCGAGCGCCTTGTGCGGGTCACCGAGGGCGAAGAGGAGTATGAGGAGGGGAGAAACTGGTGTGGTCGTCTCTCCTCGTCTTTCCTCTCTTGGATGTTTTCCTGGCGGGCGGCGTTGGACAAGGCCTGAGACGTCCAGGGCGACTCGCAGCACTTTGCCAAGATGGCCAGGAACTGCTCGATGCGTGAAGACGTGTGAGGGAAGTGGAGCCAGAAGGAGCCGCTGGCCACCAGCACCAGAGACTGCAGCAGGGCCATGTAGGGGAAGAAGCGGGAGCACAAAGGCAAAGCTTCATGGTAGCACACCTAGAGAGACAAAGAGGCAGGAATTGTTTTCTGGCCACAAGGGGGCAGCAGAAAGAAGCCATGAACACAACTTTAATAAACCAGTTGCATGTTTATAAATGACATTTACTGACCCAGTGGATACACATTAGGTTTTATTTGGGGGTCACATTTCTGTGCAACCAGTTATAGTCTCATATTAACTCTCCTTTACTCCGGTTTAATCAACAAGCAAGTAGCTCGTTATCTGCTAAATGTAGATAGCTTCATCTGTCTCCTGTTTACTGCAGCACCATTAGGGCTTAACGCTGTGAGAGTTGTGAGTGTCAACCACAACATTGCGTGTCAGAAAACCAAAACGGTCAGATTAAAGTCACTGTGAAACTCTACAGATGTGAGGAGAGTGGGTGGTAAGAATCTGTGTGGGTTTATTCCATTGACTGTATGTGAAGATGGACAAACCCTCCTGATGTCACCAAAAGTTTTTCTACAGAGCGGTTTTAAGTGTGAATCCTTCTAACTCACAGCTAATCCAAAAATGAGTGTGGAGCATGACAGCATTCATCTGTCAATCAAAGCGGCCATACGTTTAAATAGTTAGAACTTTAAGCCATAATACACATACATGGTATACGTCATATACAAACTCACTGTAACTCACAGTTAACATAGTTATAGAGACCTAAACTGCTTTTTGCACCAGCTTGTAAATATATTTCTTTCTGCTGTAAAGTTAAACTTTTTAACATATTGGTCAGTGGAGATTGACTCGCTTTTATTGGTTATTGGTTTATCCATATGAATGGTTCCTTTTGCATAGAAGTAATCACATGAACCAAAAACATTGATTGCAGCTTCTTTAAAGTCCCTCTCTGGTCACTGACAAACTCCTAGAAACTCATCTCTGTGTGTCAAAGTTACATATTCAGGTTTTATTTGTATAAAAATCCCCCCATCCTACCTATAAAAGGATTTAATGCACCTCAACGCTGTTGCCTCGATTCAGTTCCCAACTCTCTCTTCATGCACCTCTCCCTGTTTGTTGCAGCTCAAGCACGCTAGCTCACCTTCCACCTTATTTAAACATTATAAAACCACTTTATGCAAGATACTTGTAACGCTGGATTTCTTTAGCCACACATTTTCGAACCAGAAACCAATTCTGAAGGAGAATACACAAAGTCCCACCCTGCAAGCGTACAGAGTTGGTTCCTTTGGTTTGTTATCCATGTTTTTGAGTCACCAGCACTAGTTGACTCCATATTCCAGCATAAAAGCCTTTAACGAGCCTATACAGACAATATTTTGTAGCTTTAACCTGCCGTGCTGCAGGTATTACTGTACCTGGCTAATGTAAACGTATTGCTGGTAGACCAGATGTGTGCGTCGGCCCCGAGCTGTAGGTTGAAGATTTGGACTGATGTTGAGGGGAATGTCCGTGGGAGGCTTTGACGACGGAGTCGGCGCCACGTTGAGATTGCGATGACTTGTGTTTGCGGTGACGGGTGGATCCGAGGCAACGCACACAACTCTGTCCCTGGAGAGCTGCTCAGTACAAGCCAGGACAGACGTCATCAGCATCAGGACCACCAGGTAGTCCATGAAGACCTCCCACCAGGGCTTCAGCAGTTTAGACTGGCTCTGATGCTGATTCAGGGGCGCCAACTCTGACAGTGAAAACATAGCGTCCCTCTGGAGCCTGTAAGGAAAACTGGAATATAACAAAATTAGAAAATGAGGAAAAAATACTGATGCACTGATCAAATATTGGCAGTGACTGGACATAATAGTTCATGGTCACCACTTCTGCAAACAGATGTCAAAATATGTGACCTAGTAGGTGAAATAAAGAACTGAACTACACTAAAGTAAGATCCATACAAGTCACAGAATGAGATTCATGCTGTTTTAAAGGCCTGACGTAGTATTTCTTTTGTCTGTTTCTCACTATGAACTTTACGATCCTCCACAAACACACTATTTCCAGCAGGAGTTAGAGGATTTTTGCACATTTCACGTGGGACATTTCTGGATTTTGTTTGCTTTGTCTTGCCACAGATTGAAAAAAAAGTGTTGTCATGTTTTTTTTTTTTCCATCCCAGTCAGGGTTAAGCAACATGTGGGGTTGCTATGCTTATGTTACCAAGCAAAGACGACCAAATCATACCAACAATGTCCCCATAAAACACGTCAGCAGAGTTTTTGAGGATCAGGCTCCAATTAAATGAAACTTTAACTCTGATATTTAATTTTTTGTTGGTGTTTTTACGATTCCATAGAGTTTATTCTAAAGTGGGCATATTACAGGGAAAAGTTTAACAGCGTTTAGCAGCAATCAGAAAACTGGCATGAAGTTTTTTTTAGCGCTCAGATCAAGGTCAGTTGGACAAGTAATGCTGATCAGTGTTTGCACATTCAGAATAAACTGATTAAGAACAACAATACTTCTATTGTCTAAATCTTGGCAGAAATACGGAACAATCAACGTTATTTTTGCAGCCCTGGATCAGCGTTCACCTACCTGGATGAAGAACTTGTTCTCCTGCTCGTCTCTCTCTCTCCAGATCAGCCCTCAGCCGCCTCACAGGCCGGTGTTGTCCGGTTCCGCACTGAAAAACTCCTGAAAAACTTACGACAAACTCCTCCTGAGCTGGCCGACACGCAGCTTTTCAAGGGTTGCCATGGCAGCGGAGGATGTGGTTGAAAAATCTAATTCAGCACTAGAGGCCCGTTCAAGACCTACTGGGAGGGGGTTTTGCTGCACCCTTTAACTCCTTCAGAACTAATCAGAGGAAAAGAGGATTAAGTCGTGCACAAATCTATTTTCATGTTTCCTTACAGAAAATATCCAACATGAAAATACTTCAACAGCCTCGCTGGAGTTCAGTTTAAATCACTTTCGTCCCATTTTACAAGCAAATCAGGGATTATTAAGTAAAATTAAATATGGATTAAAGCAGAGACACAAATAAAGTAAATCCTTATATAAATAAGATGGAGCAATAAGTATACGTTTCCCATCTGATATGTTGTGACACAACAGTGTAAATTAGCATCAAATGGAGCTTGTTAAGTGGAAAACGTCAAACTATTTGACAGTATAAACATAGATTTCTATTCACTTACTCAAAAAAAAGTTGTGAAAGTTGTGTCAAACAGTTTTGGGGTAAAAAAAAAAAAAAAAAAATTGGGGTAAAAAAAAAATGGATCAGAAGTGTTTGGTTGAAACTGTTGCTGTTTGGCTTGCAAAAATTAATTTATATATTAATTGATATCTTGATTGCTAAAGTATCTCTATGCTTGCAATTCAATTCAGTTCAATTCAATTCAGTTTTATTTATATGATGCCAGTTCACAACATATGTCATCTCATAACTTCACACAGTAAGGTGAAGACTTTATGGATTTTCGGTGAGCAGGTGAATAAAATAAAATAAAATAAAATAAAATAAAATAAAATTTAAAAAAATAAAAAATAAATTGAAATAAAATAAAAAATTAAATGTGATTAAAAAAAAAAAAAATAACATAAAATAAAATAACATAACATAAAATAAAATAAAATAAATAATTGAACAAAAAACAAAATAACAACATATTTCTGTCTCATTTTAAGAAATGTTTTGCAGGTGCAGTAATTTTTCAAAAAAGATAATTTATCATCTCCTAACTCCCCAAACCAGTATTAAATGGAATCAATTGTTACGTGAGATCATCACAACAAAGGAGGTATATCAAACATTTATGAGAAACTATCTTAACTGACATGTACGAAAACTACTAATACTGTCTACACCCACCTACTGTGACCACAGAGAGTGCAGAGGAGCAGCAGCAGGAACAGATTCACAACTCTTTACTTCTAAAATTCAAGATGAAACATCATTGAAGTATTGGTCTGAACAAAAGCGCAACAAAATGCTTCCAGATACAGACCCTTCATGTGAACACTGTGGCCTTGCAGGTACAAAAAATAAATGGAATATAAAAAAAATGACAGAACTCAGACGCATCAATAACCCTCTTTATTATTATTTTTCGTATTAATGTGTTTTTGCATAAACTGACTGACATCAAATAATATAAATTAGAGATGATGGTTGCTACACACAACTATAACTCCTGTAATGTGACACACACTCTGTAACAGATAGATTTCAGAATTGATGCACTTTTTCCACATGTGAATCCCTTCTTAATTTGTTCCGTTCATGCAGAAGTGCTGGTTTATGAGCATATGTCGAGGTTCGTATGTACCAGTATTATCCAGCAGAGGCTGCTAAAGTTGTTGTACTGGGAAGCACACGGCAGTATTTGCCTCCACAGGTTTAATCCAGTTCCAGCTGCTCGCTGTAGGCCTGATGCCCCAAAATGATCTGTGTCTGCTACACTCACATTGGTAGTAATCAGATAGAGACACCAGTGTTGTTTCTAAAGAGCCTAAAGGTTACAGAACCTTGATGATCAAAGTGACTAAACTGACCATGTTGAGTGTTTGTGTCTGTTCGTGTGTGTGCACGTGGGGGGAGGTCGTACTACATGCGTCTTCCTTTGCATTTAGGCCACAAAGAATCTGGAGCAAAAACTCAAACTGACAATGAACCACAACAAGATCTACTCCACACAGCTGGTGTGTGTGTGTTTGCTGTGTGTCTGTGCTGTATGAACAAGTGTGAAAAATATGTGTGTGTGGTGTGTATGTGTGTGTGGTGTGTGGAGCATTGGGTTTTAGCGAGCACAGAAGAAAAAGTCGTGTGGAAGTTGCAGCAGTGGTGTAAAACCGTACGTATGAGTGCAACTGACATTTAGTGACGCCACACAGCAAAATGTTATAAAGTGTGTAACTGTGAGGGACAACAACGGCTCTTTAGATAAACATATCAGCAACATCCACCACACAGTCAGTGTCACTACATAATGTACCAGATTCCTGATCTCTGGCTCAATCTAACATCAGAGGAAACCTGCTGTTAATAGGTGTTAAGGTGTCGTGTTGCACTGGCAATCTGGCTGCAATCAGTTCTCTTGTGCGGCTGTTTTATGCCCTTCCAGCCTTTCTATTCCAACTATTATTCAATATTTTAATCTGAGCAGAGCCATTCCACGAGCTTATGACATACTAGCATACATAAACCACACCCACTGGGTAAGTTTGTGTTTAGACGTCTAAATGGTACATAGCTGCTAAGACTAAAATTGGGCTAAAATTGGTTGGAAAATAAAAGTTTAGTGATGTCTACATCACACCAAGCAGCAACCTCTGGGGCTGAAAAGTGAAGCGAATATAGAGGTGGCTCATTGGTTATCATCGTTGCCTCGCAGCAAGAAGGTCACCGGTTCACATCCCGGTGAGGACACCTAGGATCTTTCTGTGTGGAGTCTCCATGTTCTCCCCGTGCAGCGTGGGTTCTCTCCAGGTTCTCTGGCTTCCTCCCACAAAAACATGTTGAGGTTAATTGGTGATTCTAAATTGTCCGTAGGTGTGAATGTGAGTGTGCTTGGTTGTCTGTCTCTAAGTGTAGCCCTGTGATAGACTGGTTACCTGTCCAGGTGAACCTGCCTTCACCCTGAGTCAGCTGGGATAGACTCCAGCCCCCCATGATCCTAGTGAGGATTAAGGTGTAGAGATGATGAATGGATGGATGGAGGGATATAGAAATGCCCAAAAACACTGCAGTTCCTCTAATGGCTACTTGAGGCTCCAACAGTGAGTCAGTCCACATGTTAGAATGTCCAACTTCACAATAAACATGTTGACAACCTCATGCAAGAAGTGGTTTTGGTCTCTAAAACTTCCACATTCTCAACAACTGTGCAGTTTTTTATACAACTCACCTGTTGAAGTTCTGCAATAACTAAGGGCGTGGCTGCTTTGCGTGCTAAGCGGATGCCCTGACAGGTCAGCTCATGGCACAAAGTCCAGCTAAGTTTGCCATTCAACACACGATGAGACAGAAAGCTAATTTATAAACATATATATAAATGGGGTGTTTTTCATATTTTAAAAAAACGGGCGTTGAGTAACAGCCTTGATGTGCCCATGCCATTAAAAATTGATTTTAGCAGAGCGTATCGACCTCAGTTGTTACATGTGAAAGTGAGTTATTTACAATTAAGTGATATAAACACTGTCTTTATATTTAGTAGGAAATATTCAGGGTTGTAGGAGAGCTATGCAGTGCTAAAATCGGGCGGAGCGTTCAGTAGGAAGTAAGTAAGACAATATTTTATATAATTTGTACACAAATGTGTACGAATTATCTTAAATTGTCGTTTTAAGGGTGACATGCTGCAAATACTTCTCGGTGAAAGCATCATGGCAGGAGCTCAAAACAACAGAAATAGGAGTGGCATCAATATTCTTGTCTAACTCTCAGCAAGAGAGTGAACAATTCCTTCACAACTTCTGCAGGGGTCACGTATAACTCTGGCAAACAAGGTCATATCTGAGCAGAAGTCATCACGTAGAGCTTCATATCTTTTATTTATGACATGCACGTGGGAATTTTTTCTTTCTCTTCTTGTAACATTTTTTTTTTAATATAAAGAGGAAAGTAAAAAAACATATTTGACTGGTGTTTTTGCATCTCTTTCAGGGAAACATGGCTAAAATTAGAAAGCAGGGCTGCAGCGTGGCAAGATCGACATTACACAGGCCGATAACCTACCGACACCCTCGGTTT